ATGCGATAAAATTATATAAAGTTATGAAATCCTTCCTGTAATTTTCGATTCAGCTAAACACTTAGCAAAGCATTAAAGAGATTACAGTATTTAACCAAATTTTGTTAACTATAAACTTTCAATAAATTAAATTTCTTAGCAATTATTTCCCAATTTATTATAATTTTTATTAATCAACAAAATGACTGAAGTTGTCTCGGTTAAAAAAAATGCAGCAGTGCCTTATATTCCTCCTGAAATTATTCGAATTATTTTGGATTTATTGAGGGATGATAAAAAAACTCTCGCTGCCTGTGCTTTAGTTAATCATACTTTTAACCTTCATTCCACTCCGGTCTTATATCATACTGTCGCGTTTACTTCTCATCATACGTTTACGAATTTCATTAATGTCATGAATGATATTAAAAAGTGTTGTTCTCAAATGATTCGCAACTTAGATTTTTCCACTTTCTCTACCTGCGGCCTGCAAAAAAGTTTTGAACCCCAAAAAGTCGTCACTCCAGAAATTTTAATTCATATTCTAAGATCTTTTCCCGAATTAAAAGCCTTTTCGATATCAGAATTTTTGGAATCTGTAATTACCCTTGATGTTTTAAGAGTTTTATTTTTAGAATGTAAAAGCATAAAAACTATTGATTTTTGTGGATTCGATAGTAGACAATTTAGTAACGCTTTTGATGAATTTTCTAGTTTAATTGGTCGAGTTAAAATAGATTCAAAGTGTAATGATTATAATGAGACAATGATTTCTTTTCGCATGATATCCAAACCTTTATTATCTCATTTACAAAGACTTTCATTTCATGAATGTCCAGTAATTTCTGAATACTCAATTATTATACCTATTCTTGCTCATGCACCAAATCTTACTCACCTTGATTTGGGCGGTTGTTCTGTAAGCGATTTAACATTAAATTTCTTAGCTGGAACAAATATTCCAACAAAGTTATCTCATTTATTATTGGCTAAATGTAAAAATATTTCTTCCGAAGCCATTTCATCTCTTGTTTCAAAATGTTCTCGATTGGAAACTCTCAATTTATATGGTGACAGGGATATCACTACAGATATTAAAGAATATGATTTAATTACCATACTTCATTCACCAAATGCAAAGAATTTCCGAACTTTAGATATTGGATCTTCACAGATAACACCTTTAATTTTAACAGCTATCAAAGATAATTGCCCATCTTTACAATATCTTGGTATTTCGAAAGCACAGATTACCAAATTAAATCTTATTAAAGATCTTTTAATGTCCTTACCAAATTTACAATACGTTGATCTTACTTCTGTTTCGTGTTTCAATGTTTCAGGTTTCAATCTTTTGAACGCAAACAATTTGTTAACTGACATAAAAAAGAACAATCATTCAATTCATACAATCGAGATGAGTGAATCATTAATTAAAAAACTTGATACAGTTGATGGATGGAAGATTAACGCAAATTATGGAAGATGGCATTACTCTCGTGAATCTCAGAAAGAAGAGATTAAATATGATAGATTACATGGTAGAAACTGGATATGACAGAACATGGCCAGAATTTATAAGCAAGATTTCTTAATATTATGGTTTTGATGCATAATATGATTTCTTAATATTATAGTTTTGATGATTAATATGATTTAATTATTCATTACTAGAACCAATGTCTTATAAGAGATATATAATTTCTTGTAAAAACATTTCTTAAAAACAATTATCCATATGTATATATACGTATCTATAAATTTATAATTATGTAATTATCATAAAAAAGTAGAACATATCATTAATATAAAGAAAAAACCAAATAATAAGCTTTAAAATATAGTACCAAAATGTGTACTAAAACATTTATAAAACCCTGTATTTGAATAAAATTTTATAAGTTTATAAATTAATTAAACTAATTAGATATGTCTTACTATTTTCACCATGATTATACCAAATTTTCTATTTTTTATATTTATCGCGAGTTTCCGATTACAATCGATTATACATGATCATACATGATTATATGCGGTTTGTCATATAAGGTAGCTGCGCGATGCTGTCACGCAAAACCAGGAATGCAAATTATGAGTGTGCCAGAATTGTTTATCAGTACAGGCGGCTTTTCCAGACTGGTCATAATAACTGATAAAAAATAACAGATTAAATTTATAAGATACTGGTGCGTTAAATAGCATTTGGTGTCACCATCTTTTTAGCAATTAAAAATAAAAGTTGATACTGAAGATTTTGAAATAACTCTTAAGGGCAAAATTAGTAAATTTGGCCAAACTAAGCTTAATTCAAGCCAAAATTCAAATAATGTCCATTTCCGCTATTTTGCACTGTCCAAATTGAATTAAAGTAATAAGTATAGTGTGATAGCAAATATTAATGATAAGAAGTTATGCTTATGCAGTATCAAATTTTAGTAAACCTTTTGTAGCATAGTAAATAACAAATATAAGTACTGTATTATATGTTAAATATCATGAACCTACTCAATATTTGAAATCATTAACCTATTGTTAAAATTCTAAACAAACCTATTGTTAAAATCACGAACTATCTATTGTTAAAATTACTGCTTAATTATTATCAAAACTGTGAGCATATCTGCTATTAAAATCAAAATTTTGACCATCACTAAAACTGTGAATGTACAGTATGTGTTACGCTGTATAAATTATGAGTTTACACTGTTGAAATCATCAACACACCTACTATTAAAATCACGAACTAGCCACTATGAATTGTGAACATTTACTGTTGAGATCATTAGTCTGACCACAATTCTGAAATCATGAATAGTACTCTGGAAAATCAAATTTTGAATCAAATATTTGATCAAATTTTTAAAAAATTTGATCAAATATTTGATTCAAATTCAAATTTTGATTTGATTTTGTGGAGTACTAACTGGTCTTATCAGAGACCAGAGCAGATTGAACCATAGAAATCCTAACAGTCCTGCAAGTCTAGTCTCAGTTCACTTTAATATTTCAAAATCTTAAAGAATTAACTGGTTTGGGCTAGTTCAAGCCAGTCTGGTCTTAAAACTAAAAGCAGTTTAGACTGGTTTTAAAGCTAACTGTGGTTTATCAGTTTAGAACAGACTACAGTATAACATCTCCGTTGAACTGAGTCCATCCATCTCTAAATGGGTTTACAGAACTAAGTTTGGATGCCTGCTAATAAATAATACTACTCAAATCGATTGTCAATAGTAGTAAAGCATAAAGATAACCTGTATATTTTAAATTTTAGAAGTAATCGAGGATGTACAGTATAAGCTTGATCTAAATTAATTACTAAAAAAAGTTAGCGTTAGTATTAACATTAATATTAATTTAAAACTCAATAGCAATAGAATCTTGTATGTACATACGTAATTTTCTCAATTATATTTAAAAATATTCTGATTTCTCAGATCAACAACCTTTAAGTCCATTTAGAGTACCAGATTAATACAAGTTAAAAACTTGTAGATCTTTACAAAATAATTTCACATGACAAAGATCATGCTGTCCAATAAGATCCAAGATTTTGTACACAGATAGTTGTCTGTTAACCATATGCTTTGTACTTTGTACTATATTCCTGGTATATTAAAGATAAACATTTTAAGCCACATAATTCTTGTTGCAACCAGTAAGAACAAAAGCCAACAAATATAGATGTATCACAAAATCACATGAAGATGCAATCCAATCAGATACA